AAGGAAGAACTAGATCTATTCTATGAGCAAATATTTTTTTTAGGGTGGCTTAATCCGTTTATGAACAGGCGATTTTGTATTCTTAGAGTCCAAGAAAATTAAATACAAGTCTTACACTAAAAGTAAGCACAGGGGGAACAGGCGTAGCCTATGTAAAAAAAAAACGTGTATTAATGAACATGTTTATCTTCTCATTTAAACATTATGCGATCAACAAAATCTCTATATTTATGAGATTATAAAGGATTTTATTAGTCAGTACAGTCTGGAGTTAAAGATAATGAATGCCCTGAATACTAAACGGATTCATAAAAGAAATGAAGAACGGGAGATCTAATAGTGTATTTACGTATTAATGAAATACGAGTCGAAGGCGGGAACTAAATCTACATTCATTAGGCCTATAACATAGAACACATCAAACAATTGTAAGGTCCTTTATACGTACATGATAAATTAGTAACATCTGAAGAAAATCTGACTGGGCTATCAAAAACCCGTAAACGTATTTGTAAGTCATTTCTAGGCACATCAGATATAATTGGAAGAATTACATTTCATCTGTTAACCATAGGCGTACGAGCTGGGGGGGGGGGGGCGCCCCCCCCCCCCCATTTTGGGCACCAAATGCTGGGAAAATTTGGGCACACAATTGTACTTTGTAAAATTTGTATAAAAAAAAAATATTGTATTCTTGAGTGTGTCCAATTTAACAGCGAATTTATTACTATTATGTAACATACTAAGAACCTAACTACATTTTTTGGGCACTAACCATAACCGCCCCCCCCCCCCCCAGTCAAAAATTTCCCCGTACGCCTATGCTGTTAACTCCCTCTCTTTCACATATTTACCATATGCTGTGGATTTTACTTTACACAATATGGAAAAATCATTCTTTTTAATTCCAATAAGGAAAGGAAATGAGACAAGTCACGTCATCAATACTTGCCGCAAGCATTCCAACTGAAAACCAATAACCAAGCTAATTATTTATATCGAAATCTTCTAATCTTTCTCTGTTGACTCAGTAGTATCTTTTTTAGAATTGTTCACATTTTGAAAGGGAATGGTGTGGAGAAATTACATGTATTAAACATAAATTAATAATTTTGAAAATTTAAAGAGAGAGAAATGTGATTTGACTCTCACTCGACACAAAGTAGGTCAATGCGAGACTAACATATAGTACAATTAAACTTCAACAAATCTCTTGAAGGGAGGAAGCCAGGGGACCCGGAGAAACCCCCACGAGGTTGGGGTCAAAGCAACACCACTTGGACTCAATGACAGTCAATTGATCTAAAGTGATCGTGTAAGAACCCCCCCCACCCCTGTCCAATTGTTGTTTTTTTTCTTATAGGACGGCAACATATTCTTATAAAACCAAAACGTATCACATATATTGAGTTGCTCGACTTTGATGAAAGGCATAATGGTAATGTTAAAGCTTGTAGGTGTAAAGTGTGGTATGATAGTAGAATGCTATGTTCTTTTCTCGTAGCAAACGGCTTGGTGACATTATATTTTTGGATTGTCTGTATTGCATTCATCTACTATTTGTTATGTCTTGTTGGGTAGCTGTTGTCGGTAATGTGTTTAACTCATCTATTTATATCTGATATCTGAAGATTTATGGTCCAATCCATTCATGAAACAAAATTCAATTCAATATACATTTTTACATCCAACCACAAATCGTCATTTAAAACACGGCGAATTTCTAAAATAAGATCTTTGTCAATTTAACAGACAAAACCTATCTGTCATTCCATATCAATGAACTGATTTCATTTGGTAGTCTGAAAATCTTAGAAAATCTACTCCCTATTCTTCTACAACCTATTGATAGCGAGACATATAGAGATACATATAATGAACTTTTTTTTGGTCTGTCTGTCTGTATCAAGTGTTGAACTCGTGAACTGTCATCAAGGTGATGACCATACTGTAGAAAGTATGTTAGTAACGAGTCTGGTCTCTTCTAGATAATACATGGTAATTAAAATTAGTATTCAGGTATGGTGATTAGTCTGGTCTGCGGAGGCTCGATTATAAGGCAATAATTACAGTTGATGGAAGGTCCTACTCATAGGCCCATGGCAAGGATCACAGAAAATATATCTGTTAAGCAAGTGTACTTTAAGTAACTTTTATAAATGTAAGATCGTCTTGCTATATATATTACACGAACAACAAACAAAAAAGGAAAAAAACCCATTATTGTTTTACATGATTAGGGTCATTATTATATTAATGCAGATTGTAATTCTAAAATATAGGACGGCAACATATTCTTATAAAACCAAAACGTATCACATATATTGAGTTGCTCGACCCTAAGGTAGGGGATTTTAAGGGCTTACAACACAAAGTTAAGCAGGCAAGAGCAATATTTTTTTCCAATCGAGTATAGTCTGAGATGGTGATATTATGGTATATCTTGGTACTTTGATGAAAGGCATAATGGTAATGTTAGGATCGACGTGTTTGTTTCAAAGCGCCAACTGCGCAACAACGCGGAACATGCAAAATGTCAAAGCTCTCACAACAACATAAACAAAATCCACTGACCAGACATTCAGAATAAACCGAATGTCCTGATGATTAATGCACAACCCCTACTATGAGGTGTAGCTTTGGGACAAAACTTAGCATATGTTAATGAAGACAAGAACGGTCCAACTAAATTTAGAACGTACATTAAGTATACATAAAAGTAGTAAAGTATACATAGGTAGTGTAAAATACTATATGTAAATGACACTGTCTATTAAAATTAATGTAAGGGAACAGCTCAGCACTAAGTTCAGGAAAACATCATGCTTTACAGCGAATCAAAACAAAGGAAACTGTGCACAGGGAATAAAATAATTAAACAGAATGTTTAGATGAATCAAAAAGTATTATCGCCTGTAAAAGGACATAATAACACTGGTAAAGCTTGTAGGTGTAAAGTGTGGTATGATAGTAGAATGCTATGTTCTTTTCTCGTAGCAAACGGCTTGGTGACATTATATTTTTGGATTGTCTGTATTGCATTCATCTACTATTTGTTATGTCTTGTTGGGTAGCTATTGGGTGGCATTAATTTACTGGGATAATCGCGCAGTTACTGGACTTGGTTGTTGATATCTGTAGTTGAAATGTGTCTGCTGTTGTCGGTAATGTGTTTAACTCATCTATTTATATCTGATATCTGAAGATTTATGGTCCAATCCATTCATGAAACAAAATTCAATTCAATATACATTTTTACATCCAACCACAAATCGTCATTTAAAACACGGCGAATTTCTAAAATAAGATCTTTGTCAATTTAACAGACAAAACCTATCTGTCATTCCATATCAATGAACTGATTTCATTTGGTAGTCTGAAAATCTTAGAAAATCTACTCCCTATTCTTCTACAACCTATTGATAGCGAGACATATAGAGATACATATAATGAACTTTTTTTTGGTCTGTCTGTCTGTATCAAGTGTTGAACTCGTGAACTGTCATCAAGGTGATGACCATACTGTAGAAAGTATGTTAGTAACGAGTCTGGTCTCTTCTAGATAATACATGGTAATTAAAATTAGTATTCAGGTATGGTGATTAGTCTGGTCTGCGGAGGCTCGATTATAAGGCAATAATTACAGTTGATGGAAGGTCCTACTCATAGGCCCATGGCAAGGATCACAGAAAATATATCTGTTAAGCAAGTGTACTTTAAGTAACTTTTATAAATGTAAGATCGTCTTGCTATATATATTACACGAACAACAAACAAAAAAGGAAAAAAAAACATTATTGTTTTACATGATTAGGGTCATTATTATATTAATGCAGATTGTAATTCTAAAATATCTTTGTGTTCATTATGTAGGATTGCAAACGTCTAACTTGTGAAATGTTAATATTTCTGAAAATTAACCAAATTCTAATTAGTGTCATCACTTTCCCGGACAAATGGTACCATATAAATGCGATTGGACGACCGTAGCAAGGTGGACAAGATTTGCCATATTAGACACTTCCTAAATCCGAAGGTCATTTAGGCGAGCGCTCGGAAGTCGTGAGTAAACCAGCCCGGGTTGGGTGGGAGCGTTGTAACTTGTTAGCCCCCATTTTGAGAACAACAGTATAAACATATCGCAGTTTAATCTAAAAATTGTGTAATTCCTATTTAAATTATACTTCGTACTTTGCAGATTCGTCGCCCATTACAAAGCTTTTAAGGAACCAAATATTTATCATTATAAAGTTAATAATCCTCCAACCTTTTGCGATCTTGAACCCGTTTTGCTGTTAAAATGTTTACAATTACATCTTTAGCTACCACAAGAATACTTTCCGGGTCCAGGGAGCGAAGCAGTTTTGGAAGCGTTTTGTTCCAAAAACTTACAACCCGTATTTTGACCCCTCGGTTTGTCTTGGAAAACATCTGTCATTATGTAGTCATAAACATTTGGCGCCTTTACACTTCTGCCTTAGACGATTCTGGAGCGTTACAAAAGATGTGATAAACTATTCATTTATGCTAATACCTAAATCCCCTCGCTCGCCCCCACATCAGTTTCGTTGTGATTGTGTGAATAAGGTGTCTTCAAGAAAGAGAACTTCATAATAGTATTATGTATTAAGTACAGCAAATCCTTTAATTCGAACATTGTACTGGGTTCATTTCGGAATCCTCAATCAGTAAGTTTCCAATTAAAGTCAAGTACGACGTGCCGATTTCAATCGACATAGCATGCCGTATCGTTACCTCCAACCCCCTTTTTTACTAAGCATCTCACATATCAATAGCTTCTAGTGATTATTTAAGTGTCCATTGCTTAAAAACTGACCTACCTTATTATTGTTAAATCTACATCAACTTCAGCACTAAGACTAGTCCATAATTTGAAATGCAATTCCCTGCTTTGTCAATGAAGCGGTCTTAATTTGTGAAAGTATTTTAAGTCTAATCAATGAACAAGTCACATTTAAATTTAAAGTAGCATTATTTACCTTGAAATAAACTGCTAACAGCCTCTGGTGATCTAATAATATTTTACCAGCTTCAACATGAACATTAATCTTTCAGTGGATATCAATGAAAGACCAACATCTTCCAAAATTGCACGATTGAGATAAAAAGAAACGCTTTACTATAACACCAACTGATAGTCAGATTAATATCTCACATGTCTGTTACAGAATTTTCCTAAATCTGGATGCAGAATGGTTGCAATTACTTCCATTGGATAGAAAGGTTTTTACTAGATATTTACTGCCAGGGTCACACACAAGTAAATCCCTTTACAGGCCATAAACACATCCACTATTTCCTTGTTTGTGTAAAAAAACTGTTCGCTATATTGGCTGGATTAAGATCACCATCTTCATGTATCAATACCTAACTGGAACCCCGTATTCATCATTCATCTGTTTAATCTGAAATATGCAAATAATAGAATATTACATGCTGTTATTTTTGTCTTTTTTATGATACTTTAAGTGAAACTGTGATCATTCAGTTGTCATGTTTCAATATAAGAAAATAGCATCATGGAATGAGTGTTTGAAACTAGATGTATCACTGCATTCATAAAAAATGCCATACGCCATTTTAGTGCATTCTGTTTTTGTCCTTTACTCTGTAATCTCCATTTTGCTTTTCCATGAAATATAATGGAATTGTTAATTGGGAGTTTTGTGTTGCATATTCTGTTAGCTTAAGTCATTATATCATTTTACACGACTCGTCTCATTTTTGAGTGCAACTAACTCGATAAAATCCACATTTAAATAATCGAAGCCATTCCTAAACGTTTACCAGAAGTAGATGTTCAATTCTAACTGGCCTGCGACACCTTTAAGGACGCTTTAATAGTTTCCACTTATGCAGTTAGTCAATAAGAGCAACATTAGGTCTGCCAATCATACTTTGTCGTTTCTGCTATCTCCCCAGTTTGTATGCTGGTTTCAATCCACACCAAAAATCGATATAACGAAAGTGAGTGTATATCCTTGTCTAAATTCCACCGTGTACTCTCGTATCTAATATAATATACTCTAATTAAATAGGCACTGGCGGAAAGCTGCACTGTGCAATTCCATCGATTCTCACTCCCTAAACGGATATTCACTGTCACAAACTTGTGTTTCAAAAACAAGTCATAACATCGACAGTTTAGGATGATAAATTATGTCGTGGGTTTCTCACTGAATATCTTAAAAATAATTTTTGAAAACAGGTCAGTGAGAATATATATTTTCTGAGTAGCAATCACGTATATAATATGTATGCAGTAGCTTTTGACACCCCGGAAGTTAGGGTCCGTGGCTCTAATGTGTGTCTTCCATAATATTGCCAGAACTAGGGCTACATAACACAATACGAATGATAGAGATAGCCAAAGAAAACGTGGACATACGCCCACACTAAATCTAAGTCTCGAAAAAAAGGATAGACATAGACAGCAGCTGATCTAAAAGGAAAACTTAGATGTTGCCAAATTTGATAAGGATGTATCCAAGAAATCTAATCTCTGTCGTGTTTAAATGCTTTTCTGGAGACGTAATACGGAAAGTCCCAGAGTGCTGAAAATCAAAAGGGATCAACCTCTCCGATCCTAATGCTTCACGCCAAATTTGAAAACAAAATTCATTAAAAACTGTAGCCTCTATCACATTCACAATGGGGTTGGGGGAAGGGGCACCGGAATCGAAGGTCGCGGACCACTGACAGTTGATATGGTTCGTTCCCTCGTGACCCAAATGTTTCACAATAAATTTTGAAAACAATCAGTTAGAATCTGTCGGTCAATAGTTGACGGACCGGCATGATTGACGGCATAAAACTCCCATACGGAATTGTGGGCGACTAAAACAGACATACAATCACACTTTGAAATCCGTGGCAAGTCAGATTTACACATTATTTTTTGAATGCCTCACTAAAAATTATTTATGGAATAACAATTACTGGTTTTAAATTAAAATTCAACGTTTCAACGATGGTACTCTCTTCTAAAAATACCGACTGAATCAGGGCATCTGAAAATTTTGTTTAAACAGTCTTGCGTTGACAGAAAAATAATGCCGTACCCGAAGGCTTTAAATGGAGAACCATCACAATACACAAGAGACACATTAAAAAAATAAGAGTTCTTGCTACCACCAATCTGGTATTCATTAACATTATAAAACATTTCTAAATGGAAAATAAACAAAGATCATTTCATAAACCTTACTGTCATTGAGTCTTCGGGTTATCCTTGCCGGTTAACGACGAGATGTTTTATAATATCCAATAATTGAAAATAACATAACCTGTACAATTGCTCTCTATATTTGTTTCTGAACTATAATGTTGTCTACATGAGACGACCATCACTGCCAGACTAGGAATCAAATTGTGACGGTGTCATTAATATGACTACGGTGGCTTGATTGAATGAAAACATCGTGGTTGTGTTGATGTAGCGTTAGAGATAAGAGTGGACACATCTAGTAGAGAGATGAATATATACTAGATCTATCTAATCAATGATCATCGCTTCGTCTCGTAATGCACCATCATCAATCAACTTATACACGTAGAATAATAAACATGCACTGGTTATTTCTTACAATCCTATAAATTACTTTGACACAATGCTACCACTAAGTCAATCTGATTAAAACACCATTCATTCGTGGGGCTTAACGCCCGCTTCTACCGAGGGCGATAACGCCAACAACACAGATCTCATTTCGTTTTATATACAGAAAACCGTGGAAAACAGAGGCATTTCCATGGATAATATCTGTACAAGTGCGTTTTGTAGATATGGGATGCAGATATATATAAATACTATTTTTTATATTAAAGAACAAGGACAATAGAGTTTATAATGGTAAAGCGCTCGTCAAATTTCGATTGCGATAATAAAGGCTATATAAAGTCAAGCCTTGTTGAATTACAGATGTTGTCTGCGATGTCACGTTGGTGGAATTAGACGTTAAGGAACTAGGTTACTATTACTATATTACAGATTCGCCATAATTTGTTTTAGTGTCAAAATAAAGTTAGCTACAGAAGGGATGTTCTTATTAAACAAGTTGTTCTATTTGATAATGAAATCGATAGCTTTTTAGTTATTCTGGACATTTAGCGGACACCAATCCCTCGCTTCGGTTCTGTGAGATGATATCTATTAAAACTTAGCTTATGCGAAATTTCTCTTGTAGTCTGAAACCCGAGCTTACTCATTACCCAGTTGAACACCCGTCCTTATTTTAATCGATTTATAGTTTTACGACGGGATTTAACAAGATGATGTAGAAAGAAATCCCAGTAAATCATATACTTAGACTTGGTGCCGTCTGTTTACGTGGATAATCACACGTCCATGCTCCATAGTAATGTACTATTTAATGGGTAAAATTAACAACACTTCCAAACAATACGCTTAATTGTGTTTTTTTTTTATAATAAGACCTCTTCTAACTGGTAAGATTTTATCTAAACTAACAGAGATAATAAAACAAAACTGTCAATAATAACCTCGACATATCAGTGTAAGTCGGGTTTGGGAGAGAGGCCCAGACTACGGAGATGAGCATAAGTAAGAGCCCTAGTCAACTTGAGAATTCTTCGATTATAAACCGCCTGTTTTGAATATGATACGGGTGAGTTCTAGATCCCCTGTCGATTCCTCTTATGGAGACAGACCACCATCAAATTCCACCACTCCGAATTAAGTTCCTTCTATGAATATATTTTTCTTGGCTTGTGGTCTAGAAGAGGTTTGAATTGACATTTGTTGCCAAGGTTTGGTAAATATTAATGGTTTACAGGCGGAAGAATAACTGAGCTAAGGGTTTGGTTATGGTGATATGTACCGCGGATGGTTACATGATCATAGTATGCTTCTTCTAGTTTGTGTATCCTAAATTTTCAGTGGTCATCTTCATACAAACTTTGGCGCAAAGACATGTTCAATTGTTGCTCCGTCAGTGGTGGAAAGCGTTGTGCCCAACGGAAGTATAGGGAAAAGTTACAGTCCATCAAAGAGAACAGAATTCAATTGAGGAATTGATAGTGGTCTGCTTCCTAAATACAAAGAGCGGAATTATCTCACTATTTTTATACGCCCACATTTTCATGTGGACGTATATTGTCGTCGCCCCTGTCCGTCCGGAAGACCACAATATGTGGACAATAAAACTGCATAATTTTGTGATAAAAGCCCTTAAAATCCCCTACCTTAGGGCCGGGCAACTAACTCACTATACGTGATATGTTTTCTTACAGCTTAAATCCGCCAGTCCTCATCTGGAATGGTGACCAGTGTCCCAAGCTGTATTTTACGCTGTCTGGATAAAATCAGACTTTTATTTTATAAAAATAACGTGTAGGTGAAATTTACCTTTCGTTAGCAAGTACAGCACGTGGTTCATGCACTGTATAGACCTGTAAAGGAACGTTAATAGATTATCAGGTCACCCAACGAAAAAATTGACCCGAAATCTTAAAAGGGTTACGTGTCCGGATATGCGGTTTTGACGTTCACGACCAAACGACACAATGATTTGAGTTCAAATTTTGGGACAATATAAATACACCACTCCTCTATATTTTGGCGCTTCAATTTTATTCTACACGGACTTTTATTTCTGAGACCCTGTAAAAATCGGGATGGTCCCTTTAAACAAGCTTTAGTAAACATTTATTTTGGAAGGGGGTGGTAATTCATGGGTGATTAAGAGATATATATACCTATCACCTTTTGATCCCCTTTTAGCCCAACGCTAATTATACTAAATGAAATTCTGAAAGCGTAGTAACATACTATTTTATTAAGATAATTTGATAACGTAAAGTCTCTATGTAGCATTTCCAGTCTTAAGAAAATACCTTTTTTTCTTGGCTGAACTGAATCCCCGCTAAAGTATATATTTTACTCCCGAAATGACTTAGTATGTGTCGAGTGGACGTTAAACCCCACCTCTCTCTCTCTCTTTCGCATATCCTATCTGAACAGACTAAGCCAAGGGTTGTCAAATTTGCATTCTATCTTTGTAAATACGGAAATGAACCATTTTTGGACTGGCATTCACCTTGGAGATTCTTATTCTATTTCCGCAATATTGCAGTTTGCCAGGGATTCCTCAATCTCTCAAATGACCACAGTGACGTTAAGAGATGACGCAAGTTAGTAACAACCTGTGACTTGTTGAAACCTTGTTGACTTGTTTGTGACGCCTGTTGGCACTGTTGCCCTGGAAAAGCCCGTTTACTAATTATGGACCTTGAATCGAGTCGCCATTGTCATTGGGGATCGATGGTAATAAATTTTAATCTTAAATACAGTTCATATTACCAGAATACGAAATGGGAAATTTTGAACCAACCAACATCTCTTTAAGGACAATGCATTTTACATTATTTCATTCACCATTATTCTGTAAAAAAAGTTTGCCAGAGAGCAATCAACAGATCTCACGATAATATTGTGTTGCCTGGACAACATTTGGTCTTGGTGACCATTTTAATCCATCGGAAGCTTGTCTATCACAGGAATGACTATGACTACAGGCTGTGGAAATTGATCTTGGAATACTTTTGTTTTGAAAAGATAAACAACAGTAACAATCTTATACTCTTCAAAAGAAAAGTAGGGGATATTCAGAAACAATTCAAATCTGCGGAAATGCACTGCTGGTTTTATTAGAGGTAACCAGTGTATGTTAATAACAGGCCAATTGCCTACACATGAACATAAACAGTTCATATGGGCGGCTTATCTGACGGCCCCATTTCACTCGCAAAGAGATACACTGTCAAAAGTGAAAATGGACGTTTTTGATTTTTGTCTTAATAATGAGTAATTCCTCCACCAATCCTCAGACATTCAGCAATCCGTCGTGGCATGCTCCTAATCAACCGTCCAAT